ATTGTTTGGGTATTGAAATATGCACCACCCTTGTCCTGGTGCTGGACGCCAGCTCTTAGAAGGCTTGTGTGAAAGTAGATACACCATTTCTAGCATGAGCATAATTTCCTTTCTATCAACCTTGACCATGTCCTTTGAAGTTCCTCATAAAAATTGTGTGTTAGCCCAGAGAATACCCTGAAATGATCTGAAGAGAATGGATTGAATGAACTATATACTCTAGGCCAAACTCAAATTATCCGCTGTTCGAAGTCAGAGCAGAACATAATGCAATGCAGGTTAATAGATCAGTGGAAGCTGTTTTGTCAGCTCGTAAAAAGGTGAGGGAACTAAATTTTTATAATAAATCGTTCTGCTGAGCAAACAATATGTGCGGTTATAACAGACTCTGGAAAATAAATGATTTCAGACTAATGCCAGGCTCCAGATACCAAGGTGGTAGATGAACCTTCACAATGAAAAGAATGAGAAACTTGTGGGAAAATTGTTAACACTCACACTACAAAAGCACATGCAGTTTAATTCATCACCTTTGTAAAATAACATGGATGGTTGTGACATTAACCTCTGGACACTTTCATAGGACTTCCTGAGGGAGGTTCGTCTGGTAGGATTGATTTTGCTGGAGAGACGCAGGCAGCATTTTGGTAAAAGAGTGAATCAAAAAGATGCAAAGCAGATGTTCCAAGGTGGCATGAGTCATCTTGGTCCAGCCTTGTAGATGCCTATGACTGCAATTCAGATTCCCAGCTAATTGTAACTAGTTTTATTCACTAAAAAATAATCTAGCCAGATATGGTGGTGCACATTTGTAATCCTAGCACTGTGGGAGGCTGAAGCAGGAGAATTGCGTGTTCTAGGACTACTTGGGGAATTGAGCAAGATTTGTCTCAAAATGAAAAATGTCTGGAGACATAGCTCAGCATGAGGCCCTGGATTCAATCCCCAGTACTGCAAAAAATATAAAATAATAATCTGAGCTTCTTGTCAGTGGCATCACTGGCTCCTTTCAGTGTCTCTGCCTATACTTTTGGACTACTCTGCCTATACTTTCTGTGGTAGGCCTGGCTGTCACCACCATAGCCGGGTTGAATAACTCCACTCTGCAATAGCAGAGCTCAGTGTTGTCATTATCCTTTGCAAGCTTAGGAAAGACAAGAGTTGCTCTCATGATGAAAGGTAAGTGCTGCCGTGGTTGTTATCACATTCAATATTTTGGTCTGCTTAGCAGTTGCTTAGGAACCAAAGTTAAACTGACCAATACGTAGAAAACTTGATGTTCATTTTTAGGGATTGCTTCAAACAGCCCAAAAGGCACCTTCCTATTTAAATGTGACTAAAATTTTTTATAAGTGACTGGAAATCTTTTGGAGGTGAGGCATTGTATACTGGATATGCAAAGCCTTTCATTTTTCTGAGAAGAAAGTTGGAGAGTCTGCCTGAGCAGGGAGGTTACCAAGGCCCCTGAACACCACCTCTCAGCCCAGGATCCCAGTCCTGCCCTCCCCTCAGCCTCAGGAGTCTCAGGTGCCTTCTCTCTTCCTAGAGCTGTTATGCCTGACTCCTGCTGTGCCAGGCAAGGAATGAGGTGAGAGTGGGCATAGTGAAAGGTGGGTGACCCCGGGGAAGCTGCCCCTACTGATACTGCATCTCCCTGGGAATGTAGCCTGACCTCAGGCTGCAAGGATCGCCTGATGGAGGCACAGCAGAGGGGCCCAGGACCCCTTTATTCAGCAAAACTTGGCAAACATCAACTGTATGGCTTTCTTCTTCCCTTCATATTGAAGCACACATGAGGCCTGGCTTCTCCAACCTCCCCTATATCAGTTGCCAAATGGAATAGCTGGTCTCCCCTCCCCATGTGGGCTCCTAAACACATGGACAAAACAGCTGGCCCCAGAGAACAGCCCTTCTGAAAGACACACCCCGAATACAGTAGTGTCTGTGATCTGAAGGGGACAAATGAGCTGTGAAAATAAGCCTGAGAAACAGACTCAAAGAAACAAGGGAAGATATTAGCCAGGTAAAACAAGTAGGAGTAATATGAAGATGAAGCAAGTGGAAAGAACCGGTGTGAATAGTTCAGTAAACTAAGGAACCAAAAAAAAAAGGATGACTTGGAGTATGGTTACAGCTAAAGACCAGTCATGTTAAATTACAGAAGAGACGGGGATGTAGCTCAGTGGCACAGTACCTTGCTGGCAAGCACAAGGTCCCAAGTTTGATTCTCGGTACCACCAAAAAAAAAAAAAAAGAGAGAGAGAACCTTCCAGAAGGGAGCAGGAGAGGATAAATCACAGAATATAAAAGAAAGTTTCAGCAATATATGGAGGACAAAAGTGGGTATGGCAACAATATCCAGGTAACAGAAGTTCCAAATGGAGCAGATGAAATATTTGCATGAAGAGAAGTTAATTAGACAGAATTTAAGCAAGATGGAAGAGCTCATTAACCATCAGTGTGCTCATCTGGGCGGAGTCATTCCTTGCCCACCTTTTGAGTTTTGCAACCAGCCCTGCAGATGCACCTGAGAGAGAAGTTAGACATCATCAGTATCTTTTTCCCTGCACATCTCTAAATCTGTGGCACTGCCACATCTATATGTGACCACCCAGTACCAGAAATCTTAGAAGGTATCAGGCACAGGATCAAGTGAATGAGAGGATGAACACTGTCAGAGCCCGGAAGTTCACCGTGTGTATCTGGACATTGTCAAATGCAAGATGAATTGTCTGATGAACATCCAAAACTGTGTTTAAAGCTTGGGATTTTCCCCAAGAAAAGATTATAAACTTTCTGTTTTGTGTCATAACCAGTGGAGTCCATACCATGTCCTTCATCCATAGCTTCAAGCCAGCAGCTTTCTGTATGGACTATGAGTCTCTTTCTCATTGTGTTTAAGATGCTCAGCCCCAACTGGGTGTGGTGGTGTACTCCTGTAATCCCTGCACTCTGGGAAGCTGAAGCAAGAGGATTCTAAATTCAAGCCCAGCCTGGACAACTTATCACTTAGAGAGACCCTATCTCAAAATTTTAAAAAAGGGCTGGGAATGTAGCTCAGTGCAAAGGCCCTGAGTTCAATTGCAGTACCAGAAGGAAGGAAAAAGACGACCTTCATCTTTTAATTTTTTTTAACACTTTGTAGTTATTAGACTGTGTTTGCACCACAGTTTCTAAGATGTGGTGTTGTTTGCTTGAGACTGCTTGAGATGATACCATGGAATGTTGGTAATTTAAGCCACCCCCGCCCCACACCCTTACACCCAGCACTTCACAGCAAGGGCCCTGCTGGGTTTTTATGTTAGAGACACTGCCTTCCCCATGAAATCCAACTAAAAATAGCCCCATTTAACTAGGCCATTGGAAGGGCTGGTTCAAACCTTCCTCAGACCAGTCTAGAAGCCAGCTACTATTGACAGATACAATGAGCATTGAACCTGATCCCTCTGCATTTGTCACCCGAGCTAGGCTGCTGGGGGTGGAGGGTGACAAGTCTGCCTAAATCTCATCAGGCAGCTAAGGCTAGAAAAGCCCAGGCCACAACTGACCACATAGGGTCCTGAAGGCATGATGTCTCACTCTTGGTGTTTGGTGTTGGTAAGGTGGACCCTACATTTATTTTACTGCAGGGCCTGTGAAGTAGGTCTCAGGGGACAGTACTCTCATAGTCAGCGCTGTCCAGGTGCCCTGAACTGTTCCAGGGAGCAGATCTGTCTGTCACTGGCAGGACAAGATATGTTGGGGACTCTGGGCTCCAACCCAATGCAAAATCATGCAGATAGAGGGCCAAGCAGACACAGCTGGTCCTCAGAGAGCTCACTGCGTGTGAGGCATCAAGTGGAAACTGAAATCTGCCATGGAGAGCAAGGGCACTGTGTTGGTCCCTCAGGCACACCCACAGGAGGGAAGGGCCAGGGAAGGTAGAGTAGGAGTAAACTACCTGGTGCAGGGCAGGGCCTGGGAAGTTTAGGTTCTGCATGTAGTGGAGTCATTGGGCACAGAGCCATGGGCATAAGCAGTGGACAGGGCCTGGGTACTTATGGAAGAAAGCCACAAGGAGCCAGCCCTGAGCCCCAGCCAGGACCTGTGGGAACACTGGAGCCTTCATGGGAATGCCGCCCATCTCAGCCTGCAGTATAGTAGGGGCAACCACCAGGACCTATGTCAGACAGGTGGGGTAGTGACTCCCCAGCAGTATGTTCTTGCCTGTACACACTGGGACTGGCAGGCCCCTTCTCAATAGGACTCTGCTCTCCTCCCATGATACATTTGCTCATGATGGAACCATATATTTGCCTTTTAACTTCTCAAGGAAGTACTTTCAAAAATGATAAGTAAATAAGAACCTGCAGGCTCCACTTTTATGAGCAAGCCAGGTAGTCAGTGACACCAGGCATTCATACTGCAGACAGCACAGCCCCAGCTGACATATCCATCCCCACCTGCCCTCCTCTCCAGCTGACTGCCTTCTCCCATTGCCCTCTGTCCTACCAAGATCTTCACTGCCAAGGCCCTTTTCCAGATGTAGCCCTTCCTTGGCTCCTTTTCTTAACCCAAACCTGGCAAATTTCTGTTCATCCTTCAAAACCCAAATTGCCCCCTTGGCTTCCTCTGAAGCCTTTCCTGACTTCTTCTAAGGGGAATCATCTCCCTCTCCTCTGTTTTACCAGAGCACTCTGTTCAAAGAGCTATTCAAGCCCGTGGCAAGATACTGTATTTTATCTTGCTTTGGCTCTGCTTCCCCAACAAGATTAGAAGCCCCTCCAGGACAGACCACCCTGCTCTCTAGACACAGCATGAATGAGACCAACAGACATACCAGCAGTAGTGACCCCTCATGCATCTGTATGGCTCTTATCCCACCCACCTTGGGGATCCAGCCTAATCCCTGTGAATATGGTCATTTTGCCTCATTCTGTGCCAGAAAGCCTGTCTGCCCATCCCTTCCACAAGCCTGCCTTGCTGCCAACTAACCTGCTCTCTCCCTCTCACCCTCCCAGGGCCGACGAGATTGAAATGATCATGACTGACCTTGAAAGAGCAAACCAGGTAGGACATTCCAAGGCCTTTAAGCACAAAACTACCACAGCATGCCCATTTTGCTGTCACAGAAAAGGCTCACTCTAAAGCAGGAGGGCACTTTTTCTTGGGATTTTTATTTAACAGCTAGCAACATCATTACTTTTAATGGTATCCTAAGAAGTTGGAAGAAAAAACACAAAAAGGACTGGCACTATTTCCTTGGTGAAGTCTTCGATGTGACTGCAGCATTGTAGACATCCCATTGTGGGCATCAGTCCGAGGGGTACTTTGCTCATCCTAACCCCTGTGGCATCCATCACTCTGTGGAGGTGCCTGGCAAGAGTTCTTGATCTCCATGTCCCAGTGGTCATGGCCACTGGCTCTTAGGGGGCTCCAGGATGAGGGCCCCTCTCATGTGACACTTAGTGGCCAGACATAATTTTCAGGAAATAGCCAGTGTCTGGCACAGAGCAGACACATGGCACAGTATTGGTAGTGCTAAACACTAAGGCAAGGATTTTGCTTTAGCACATGGCACTGCCATCTGGGAAAACAAGCAGTCTCCTTGTGTGTTTTATTTGACAAGAGAGGCAGCCAGTGTTGATAGGTTCCTCAGCCCAGAAGGCCACAAACTATGGCCTTTGCCCATGCAGCTTTACATGCAGTGTCCATGGGCATTGGGAAATTACAAGTGAACATAGCCTCTGCTGGAAGGAAAATCCTTCCTGATCTCTTCAGTCTCTGCCTGCCACCTTCCTGGGTGTCCATGTCTGTACTTGCCCTGATAACATCTTCCCAAAGTCAGAACCAGGAAAGTTAGCTCGTGCATAGGAATAACTATGAACTAGTGTCTGTCTTTTCCTTCGGGAGTCCTTTATGATCAGTGTTGGATGTTAGACCCACCACCAGGATCCCAGGTTGGCCTGCAAGAGTTCCTCAGTGAACACAGGTGACCTGAACTACTTGAAATCTCATGTGCAGCATTAATTACCTAAGTGCCAGTTAGTAACTGGCAGTGTTGGGGTATTGACCTTATGGCGTATCTATTCCAAATCCAGTTAACCCTCACAACAGTCCACTGAGGTCAGTGTATTTAGGATTCCCACATTACAGATGGGGAAACTGAGGTCAGGTACAGAGCCAGTACCAGAGCCCAAGTCTGGCTTTGGAGCCTGGGCTCTTGGCCATCACAGCCCAAAGCAAGGACATGTCCGGTGGCCTCTTTTTCATGCAGTCTTGTTTCCCAAGTACAGCAGTCATACCTCACTGCCAGGAAGCACCACTCCTGCCAAGGTTTGTGAGTGGTTGTTCCCTCGTGTCTGCTAAACTGACATGTAACAGCCACTTTGCCTTCACTCAGTCTGTTCTGCTCCACCTCTCAGAGACCTGAGTCACAAGTGGCTACTGGAAGGACTGAACCTTTGTCACCTGAATGCATTTGCATCCCCCAGGCCAGTGCTGGGCATGTCCCCGCCCTCCACTGGCTCATCTGGGCAAGCCCTGGTCTATTCAGCAGCTAGCCTGGGCCTTATAAGTGGAGGTGAACCATCAGAAACTGACTCTACCAGGTCGTAGGGACAGTCCTTAGGGGCCTAAGATGTTTGGCAGAGTTGATGTCCTCAGAGTAAGTCACTCTGGCAGATCAACATGATATCAGGCCGGACCGTAGAGAAAGGTGCCAATCCCAGAGTGACATTTGGTTCAGGTCCTAAGTCAGATTTCCTGACTTATGACCTTGACCAATCTCTTAATCTTATATTTCTTAATCATAAATATAAATAAAAGAAAACCCCAAAAGCTTGAGTACATTTTGCTAAGAGAGCTAATCCAGCCACAAAGACATGCATTGTGTGACTCCCCCTAGATGTTGTGTCCAGAGGAGTCAGGTTTGTGGAAGCACAGAGTTCAGTGGAGCCTGCCAGAGCCAGGGGAGGAGCAGGAGGTGTTAAATGGGTACGGGTATTCAGTTCTGCAGAATAGAACATTACACTGCAGTGTGGCTGGACTTGACACTACTAAATTGTACACATAACATTTGTTAAGATGTTTAGTTTTATGCTGTATCTTACCACAGTTCAAAACTTTAAACATTTTCTAGAAGGAAGAGTAGGTGGGTGTGGTAGCTAGTACTCCCTTTGTAGGATTGCTTTGAGGCCTAGAGGTAAAACCCCCTGGGAAACCAGTAACTCCATAAGTACATGTTAATCCTGCAGCTGCTGAGGAAGCACAGACTTGTAGTGAGGAGGCTCATAGAGGCCAGCCCTAGGGAAACACTGGCCATGGGGAGGTGGGTAGTATCCTTACCAACCACTGAGCCTCTGTTATTTATCTCATATGACTGCATCAGGAGATACGTGAAGGAGGTAGTGATTCTACTCTCCTGCAGCAGTTAGTCTATTCTGGGAAGTTCTGTTTTAGTCTGGAAGCCACATTGTAAGGAAAACAGTTCCCTGGAGTAAGTTCCAAGGCCAGAGCCAGGACAGAGAAGGGACCCAACACCAAAGGAAGTACAGTTGGGGATGTTGCTGATCTTTGGGAAGCAGAGAAAAGGCAGCACAAGAAGAATAATTTCAGCTAGGCATAGTGGCACATACCTGTAATCCCAGGACTTAGGAGGCTGAGACAGAAGGATCACTATGAGTTTGAGGCCAGTCTGAACCATATAGCAAAACCCTGTCTCAAAAAACCCAGTAGTTGTTTTGTTGTTGTTGTTGTTGTTGTTTCAGCAATTTAGGATTCCAAAAGATTGGGAAAGGGATGGTTTGGGGTGGGGATCTTGTGATTTCTGTAGTTATAACTCTCAAGGCCGACAAGAAAATGGCCAGGCTTTTTGTGAGACACACAAGAACCATGGCCAGGCATGGAGGCTGGCAGGAGAAAGCAGTCTCCCAGTGTGGAAAAGCTCCTCCTGGGCCTGGCCCTCTCTGACAGTGCCAGTCTGGAGGGAATGAGCTCCCTGTCATCAGAACTATGCTGGCAGATGTCGTTCAACCTTTGACAAGAGTATGAGCTGGGGACTCAAGCACAGAGTGGACAGGAGGGATTGGACTAGATAATGCAGCAGGTCCCTTCTCACTCTGAAGTCAAGGATTTTATGAGAATGTAGGTGAACCCACTTGTACAAGAAAACACCCAAGTTAGATAAAAGCCCCACGATGTTGAAGGGATTATCCCTGGGGAAAGACAAGTAGAAAGGAAGTGAAAAATGTAAAGGAAAGCCAAAGGTGGCAACACTGGGCTGGGCCTTGAATTTGAAGGAAAGCTCCTGGGAGGTGGGCAGGAGGTGGACCAGGTCCCAAGCCACCAGAAGAGCTGGCATGTGGATTGACAAGCAGGTCTGGCAGGCTGGGAGAGAGACCACAGCCTGAGAGCAGTGTGGAGATTGTGGGCAGGAGCAAGATTTCAGATTTCTAATCTAGGGGGTTACCCTGGCTAAACCTGTGTGGCATAAGTAGCTATGGTGACAGGACAGGGAAAGCCAATAGGCCCTAGGAGGAGGCCACTGGCCCTGCCCCCAGTGAAGCCACACACCATCTGGACCAGCTGCCTACCCATCAGGGAGATCCCCAGAAGGAGTAGTTTCCTTGTTCGTTGACATGACACAGGATTTTTGCAGTGTTTATAGTCAGGTTCTGCTGAGTCTGGTAGCCCTGTTGCATTGCTAGGTGCTTGTGTTTTTCATACGGAGCAGCAGAAGAGTAGGCAGCAGCTGTCAGTTAAGTAGGAGTGTCCTTGACACCTGTTTGTTCAGCCCTGAGATACTTGGCATTAATATTCACCATCATGGTGATCATAAAAGCTCAAAACTTTTGAGACTTCATGACGGAAAGAAGCTGTGCCCAGGGGCTTCCCTGTCCCTGCAGCCCCTCCTCCAGCTGTGAGTTGAGTTGCCCAAAGCCAGGACACGGAGGCCGGGAGGAAGTCATTTCAGACTGCTGTCCTGTTAACCTCCATGATTTTTATGGCGTTAGACTGCTGTAATGGAAGATCCTTTAGGCTGAGGTTGGGGTTGGAAATCACAATTTAACCTCATGAAGGAGAAGGAACCAAACATAGAAAGAAACACAAAGACTTGCTAGACTTGTGTGGGGTTATTTATCCATGTTTTTTGTGTGTTGACAGGAGTTGGGATCATGAATCTGGAATCCCATTTGAGGCATTTCCAACCAAATTGTCTCGGCAAATCCCTGATCCCCCGGTGCCAGCATTTCCTCATTTGCAGTACCAAGGGCATAACTGGTTTCAAGCCTTGTTCAACCACCAGGTCTTTTGGTGTACCTGCTCTGAGTAGGCTCTAGATGGTGGTGAGAATGTGCTGGCTTCAGGCTGAGTCCAGGGCCATTCCCATGAGACCAGCCCATGCCTGACATGTTGCTCCTTAGGCTTCCTGGGACCCTGGGCTTCTCCCCATCATAAATTGGACCTCAGCCCAGGTCAGTCTTTAGGCCACACATGAAGGACTTTTGTGGTAGACAGAGGTAGGAAAATCCCTCATCCTCCTCTTTGAACGTACGCCTCGGTCTATGACCAGCAGGGTTTGTGGGGACTATTGCTCTAGTCCCAACCTGCAGTATCCAGCAGGTCCATGGCAGCTCTGAAAGGGGTTTGGATGCCACCTTTGCCTGTGGCAGAACCCCAACCTGCTTCCTGCAGTCACTAAGAGGGCTTCTTCTGACAGTCTGTATAGTCCAGTCATATGGAGTAGGGGTGGGGAGCTTTGCTCATCACCAGCTCATAGGTCTGGCTTGTCACTGGAGGAGGCAGCTCGGTATCTGTCTCCTGGAGCCTGATTTTTAACTGCCATACATAGAGAGAGGACAAGAGGACAAATCTAGGGCCAAGAAGGGTAGAAGAAGGCTCTGAACCCCACCACTACCACCATATAAAATCAGGGCAATATAAAATGAGACTCACCTGGGCAAGATACTGTCTCAAAAATAAAAAAGGCTGGAGATGAGGCTCAGTGGTAGAACACCCCTGGCTATTGTCATCCTGTGTCACAATTTCACATGTGCTCCTAGAATGGGATTGGGGAAGCATCCTCTCTGCCTTTCCTGAGGCCTCCAGGAACCCTCGGAGTCAGGGAGACAGGGGGTCCTTGTGGACCTCCCTCTAGGGTGAGGTGACTCCAATTCACACTGTGACCTGTGTGATACACCAGGAGTGGAAGCTCCCCTGTGACTTTGCAGTTGGTAGCATTGGGTGGTGGGAATAGTCACTGCCATTTGCTGCCCTGACTTTTAAGAAGAATTCTTTAGTCAAAGTGCCACTACCTACTTCTGCCCTCCAGGTAACAGTGGCTATTAGGGGAGGTTAACCTGAAGACCAGCTTGCAGTCTCTAGTAATAACTTCCCCTTAAAAAGTTGTTCCTTTCAAGATAAGGAAATTAAGGGTCCCAGAAGCAGCACATGCCTTGAGAGTTTACAGGACATTGCTACCATGCTGCAGGCACAGCTGATGCTCAGCTCCTGCATCGTTGCTGGCTCTCAGCAGTCACAGTTGCTACCAGAATGCAAGCACTGCTCTCCCCACCCCCACCCCCGTCCCCTTTTCTGCTGTCCCCTGAGTAAAGCATTTGCTCTCATTTCTTAGGAGAAGACAGAAAGCAGGAGTCTCAGGAGAGCCGACCAGGCTCTCCAAGGTGCTGATCTCCTGTGGGAAGGCCACAAAGTTGTGAAGGCTGCCCCAGCCTGCCACTCAAGAGTGTGGCCTGTGTTGCCTTGGCTCTGCCTTTGCAGAGAGCCGTCTGCAAGTACAGAGAGCCAGTGTCTCCCAACAGCTGCAGCTCTGCCTGGGTCAGATCTAGAATCATAACTGCAGCTGGTGAAGTTGTTGTCTTCAGAAAGAAGTGAGAACCTCAAAACAGGTGGGGCCAACCTGGCTTCCCCTTCTTTCTGCCCCAGCTGCCAACAACAAACTAAATTTAGTTATCAGCTACAGAAATGCATCTATCCCAGCTGCACATCAGTGTCTGTTTCCCTGTCTCCTGCTCCCCCTTTTTTGAACTTCTCTTATTTTTAATTTTTCTGGTTTATGCCTGTTTAACTGCACAAACTGACTCAGTCATTTGTTGATGGGTTGTTGGTTTGTTGATTGTTTTTTTTTAATATACTCAGGCTATAAAACCTAAATAAATATCAAAAAGTTGCGCTAAAGTGAACAAGTCAAGCCAGATGTAATAAGATGCAGTGACTACCAAGAGATAGGCTAAGAACAACTATGTACATGAACTTGGGGACTGACTGCAAGTACACTGTGGAGACATTGAGATCTCTATTCTTGGGTCCCTCTGCCTTTGATAAGATAACACTCTGCCCTCTGGAGATCCCCACAGGCTCCTAGAGATAACGCATGAACTTGCCACCTGAGCTCTGGTTGTTCTGGAATACTTCAGAGCCGGTGTGACATGTCAGGTGATGATGCCACCTGTTGGCTGCTACCATGACAGCTTCTCCAACAGACACAGAAATATTTTTCCTAGTCAGAGAGACTAGGAAATATGTCACAATACACCTCATTCCTGGCAGAGTCGTGGGGATTGTTGTACCCAGGGGTTTCGGTGACTAGCAAGGGAAGAATATACTTTTCAGTCATGTGTCATGACTATCAGAAAAACTTGGAAATAAACTAAAGGAAGTCTTTTTAATCAAAGAAAATTTTTTCCTGCAACCTTAATAGTTGAGCATTAGCACAAGCTAGAAGTTACCTTTGCTATCCTCACCCTGACAGCTGGTTCTAGATTCCATTTGGAGCAGAGACCCTGGGACAAGCTCCTTTGAAATACACAGGCTGGCCGGACACCTCGTAAATTAGGCTTAGTGATGTTCCAGAGCTCCTGAGAAGCAGGGCAGGTGGCCATCAGCCCCACCCTGGGCAGGCCCACGTGCTCTCAAGGATATCCTAATTTGTATATATGCAGAGCAGACAGATTTAGTGCTGCTGCCACCAAATCACTTAAAGCTGCCAAAACCCCTTCCTCATACAATTGGTCAGTGAGTACCAGAGCAAACTAACTTCCTGTTTCTCTCTGTGAGTTCTTTTTTAGCAATTAGTAGACACCACCAGCTGTCACACCATAAGATAAAGAAAACCCACAAGACAGCCCTGCCCTCCCAGGCTCATCTCATTAATCTTTTCTGTTAGCAGATTGTAATTTTAAAAATATGCAAAGAAATAGCATGTCACTGTCTATCCCCACGCCCAGGGTCATTTACTGCCATTTCCCACCTGCCTTAGAGTTCAGTTCCTGTCATAATTGTAAAACCAGGACAAGGCCATTGACAAACATCCTTCAGCATGAGGATGTATACTGCGTATGTATACTGTAAACCTCTGGCTATGCATCCTTACCAGGCCTCTAAGAAAGACAAGGTTCCCATTTTACAGATAAGTAGGTGAAGGCACAGAAAGCCTAGATGCCTGGCCCTGGTTCCTCTGTTCCCAGATGCCCTTTCAGGTTATGGGCACTGGAGTGACTATCTTAATCCAATGGGTTTGAAATGGCTATGGCTTCCTCATCCAGGAATTACAGGCAGATGGTGAGAGGTTCCAGTCATTTCTGCTCATTCCCCAGAGCTGGCCTGGGTCACGCACCTTGGCCACAGATTGGCCTAGCTGGCTCAATATGACAGTGTCAACATTCAAAAACATTGCCTGGGGAAGGGTTAAACATGCTGAAATAAGCCTGGCTGTTACAAAAGAAAGTGGCATTTATACCCCATCCGTTTATGGAAATGTTGCTGGAGGAAAACAACCACAACATTGTGCCCGTTTTTAGGGAGAGAACGGCCAAAATGTCTTTAATTCACTGTTTACCCGTGAGAATTACTCCCAGGAGTAATCCTGCAATAAAATCTTCTCGGTCTATGAGAATAGAAAGAAATTGAATCAGAAGACTCTATTTCCACTGGTATTTATTCAGTCTGGGAAATTCAGTGGGCCGGAGCATTAGTATCAGCAGGGGATTCCTTGCTCCTAGCGTTAAATTACTGTCATAATCGCTCAATTATTTCTTCCTTGTACTGTTTAAAATAAAAATCCATCACATTCTATGTTTTTTTTCAAGCATTTATTAGGTTGAGTGTTTAGGAAAATCAATTATAGTCAGTCAGGCATGAATTGATGAATGTTCTTGTAATAATTGTCAGTTGTTAAACCAAATATACTTTCTTTTTCATTTCCTTCAGAGGGCAGAGGTGGCACAGAGAGAGGCAGAGACCTTAAGGGAGCAGCTCTCATCGGCCAACCACTCCCTCCAGCTGGCCTCACAGATCCAGAAGGCTCCGGATGTGGTGGGTAGCCCAGGCCTACAGGTCATCTGTACCCTCACGTTACTGCCATTTTCTCCTTTAGGGTTTTAATGCTGCTTTTAACCATTTTGATCAGTGCTGCTTGCTTGGTGGGGAAAGCATTTAACAATTTAGGGCTGCAATATGGTAGAGTGGAAGGAAAAGTTTTGCCCTGTGATTGGTGTGAAAAAATCTCTTGTCCTGAGGTAGAGCTGGGGAGACGTGCTCACATGCAGAGGACACCTTCCCTGCTGGGTCTGAAGATGACTGCTAGTTAGGAGGAGGAAGAGGTCTGAAACAGGAGCCTCCCCAGAATTCCACAGGAAAGTAGAGCATTTGCTGTACTCTTGGATGTGTCCTTTCAGAAAGGAGCAGCAGTCAGTCTGCAGTGAGCTGGGAACACAGAGGTCATGCCTTGACAGCCAGGACTACTACAGTCTGCCCCAGGCATGAGAATCCCTGAAGAACAAGGACTTTTGCCCCCTGACTTTTCTGAAGTTAACAAAAACACTTATAGCTAGAGCTTCCCCAAGATGGCTTTAAACAACTAGTTCATAGACCACCTTGATGCTGTACAGTGACATGGAGCAGCGTGGTAGCCGAGGCCCTGGGCAGAAATCAGGAGTTCAAATCCAGCTTCTACATGTCTCAGCTTGAGCAAGTAGCTCATCTTCCTGGGTCATAGCTCCTCCATTTGTAGAAAGGAGTTGCACAGGGTTTCAGAAGTTATGAGTACATTGTATAGCACAGGCCTAGTGCTTAATGAATAGCAGCTTACCCCTGGCACTTCAATTCCCCTCTATGTAAAATAAAGGTTAAATGAGCCTAACTAGGGTCCCTTTAGTTCTAACAGGCTCTCATGAGTCCCTGGAAGTTATTAGTGTCCTTTAATTTAACAAAACTCACAGGCCCTCTGCTGCAGGCCTGGCTTATAGGGACAGTGTGAGTGACAAGGAAAAAGACAAGGCCTTTTGCAGAACAGTACAGTCTCATCAGGAAAACTCACTGCAGTGATAAGTTCATCTGTTACTTTAACAGCCATTAGTCTACCTTGTCCCTGAAACAGGTATTATTATTTCTTTTGTAGATGAGTAAACCGAACCCTGTGAATGTGAGCACCTGGCCCAGAGCATAGGCAGGCTGTGGCAGAGCCAGAACTAGTCTCGGGCCTCAGATTCCTCAGCCTGGGCTTTTAAGTGACTGCCAGGAATGAACAGGGAGCCAAGGGTCTTGTGATGGGACCCCATTCAGGAATAGATTTTAACCAGCCATGGTCCATGCCTGTAATCTCAGCATGCAGGAGGCTAGGGCAAGAGAATTGGGCTACATAGCAAGACCCTATCTCAAAAACAGAAAAGAATAGATTTTAGTTTTCTTTCTTTCTTTAACATTAAATATAGGGTTTAAATGTTTTTCATAGCGAGAACAGGTTTCCATTTAAAGGGCCAACACACCCTTTGTACTCAGTGCTTTCAATACTTATAACTGAAATGACCCCTCAGCTCTGTTCTCATCCCCTCATCTAATCTTAGATGCTCTGGATACAGGCCAGGGCTGGAGCCAACAGCATCTCCTCCTCTCTGGGCACCATAGGTCCTGGGGAGGAAGCTGTCCATTCTTATGCATTTAACAGGGCTCCTCAGCTAAATGTTTAGATTGAAAAGAATTCTGGCCCCATCCTGGCCTTGGACAACCCAAACATTTCAGCAGGAAATGAGTGTTTTTGGAGGTAGAGTCGGTTTTGGGTCCTGGGGGGTTACACACTTCATCAGAGGCTAAGTGCCGTGTTTGTCTGGCACCACTGCCGTCTTCCCACAGCTGCCTGCCGGCCTCACTGGCTGTGCCTCCCCACATAGCTGCAAGTGCCAGCTCCCACCAGCAGAAAAACCAGGCCAGTGGAAAAGTGGGCTGTTGGACTTGGCTGACAGAACTCAGCCAAGGAACAGTAAAGTCCATAGATCTAGTAAAGGCCCCATTCCATCTACTGGGTGTCTCGATGGAATCTCAGTTCTAGAAAGCAGGCAGTCACTGCGCAAGCTCCTGCTCAGGGTATAGCTGTGCAGAGCTTTCCATAGTGAGTCTGTTTCTGCCTCTTGACAGCATAGTCATTACAGGGAAGTTTTGTTATTACCGTGATTTCACAGGTAAGAAAACCAAGGCTCAGAAGAGTTGAGTAATTTGCCACAGGTCACACAGCTAGAAACCCATCAAGTCACATTGTGAGCCTCAGCTTGTCTGTTCTACAGGCCTCTTGCTCCCCGTTAGCACACCACTGCTCCTCCACAGCTGCCAGTGAGCCAGGGTCTCCAAAGGCCCTCAAGGGAATGTGCAGAGCAGACCAGCTCAGGGCTGTGGTCCACCCGCCCTGCCTCCTTCAGAGCTGAGAGCAACTGTAATACCAGGAAACAAACCATGCATCCTTCTCATGGTGGGGCAGGAACAGAGGTGTTACAAGGGAGAGAAGTAAGGCCAGGTTCCCACTCCCACATCTCACCCTCAGTACAAGAAATAAAACTGGAGGAGTACCAGGCTGCAGCTAGTCCCATCCTCAGCAAGTCCTGGTTCACTGTCACCAGCATATTGTGATTGAAATGCTTTGGCCTAAGTGCAGCTCCCACCTTTCTTTCATGGTTAACCTAGAAGTGGCTGCAGGATACAAGATCATGCACTCACATGATGGGGTGGTCTCAGGAGGGTGGTCTCAGGAGACCAGCAGGTCTCAGGACAAGAAGGCACATGGGCTCAAAGGGACAAAACATGACAGAACACCACATGAGAGACTTTCCTCTTAGGGGCTTGCTCCACCTCCACCACCTGAAACCCCTATAATTTTTACAATATTGTTTAATTCTGCTAAGCATCTTGCATGCCCTCTACCAACTCCTGAGCCACCAGGACCCACAGGGCATGTAGGAGTCAGAATCTGGGGATTTCCATGTGAGACAGACTTGAAGGCCATCTTCCCCAGCAGTGGTACCACAGGGCCCTCTTGTTGCGTCACACACACGCGCATGCACCCCGATCATCATCCTGACTCTCAGCTTCATCAGAATCACCATGGGACTGGATCTGTTGATCAGTCCCTTCCCCCACTCCAAGTTCCTGCCTCCGGGTAAGGCCTAGAACCTCTAGAAGACGGTAAGGCTGTCTTCTAGAGCCCCACAGGATTCTGGTGCTAACAGGTGGAACCTGGGACGGATGAGAGGCAGTACTTCATGGTCGTGAGCCTGATGGCCCCTTAACTGCCTGACACCCATCCCCTAAAGTTTTTGAGACTGCTTCTTTCTCTCCTTGTCCACACTGCCATATAGGTGATGCCAGTATCTCTCTCAGCCTGCCTGCTCTGCACTGAGAAGCCTCCACTTTCTCACCCTAGTTCAAGCCTGTTCCTCTGCCACAGTGCCCTGGCCATTCCCAGGGCCCTTCTCTGTTTCTTTTTTTAGTTTTTCTTTGTGTCCTTACGACAAGACCACCAGGAGTGTGAAATGGAGGTGAGCCATGGTTGGAGTAGGATGATTTTTTATTTTGGTGCTTACTAGGTTGATTTGGGGTCTGTTATCTCATGTCGGCAATGCTTTTTACTCCATTATGAATGAAGACTTTATGGGTCAAGTTCCTGAGTGAGGTGATGCGCCCAGGGTCCTTTGGCCAAGCCAGACTGGGCCTTGAGAACAGAGTGAATGGCCCTGAGTCCAGGTCCAGCACTGAGAGCTGCTGTTTTTAGCCTTGTTATTTGAGCCTCGTGTCCCTGATACCTAAACTTGAACTTGACCATTGCAAGGCCCATCATTGTAATGGTTTTACAAACTGCTTAAGTGCATGAAGCACTGTCAGTGGCTGGCATTCTCAGGGTGGAAGATGGATGAACCTTGTTCTGTTAGATGTCTGGATGCAGTCTGCGTCCACCATCAGACTAGTCTCCCCCAGTGTCACTTCCATTATGTCCCCTCCTGCTTCAAAGCCTCCTAGAGGCCAGTGTCATCTACAGTGGTGCTTTCTAAACTCCAGGGTGAAGGATTTTGTTTTGTTTTGTTTTTTAAATATCCATTCTGTTGCAGACTGATAGTTTTATAAAAGGCAGTAAAAATGTCACCAAAATTTTGAATGGCTCTGGAGTTTCTCACAGCAACTCTCCATTCCTGTTCTTGCTTCAGTGTGTACTGGCATGTTGGTGGCTTGGCAGCAGCCCTGGGGCACATGCCGGACAGGATGGTCTGGACAAGCTGTGCCTTGTAAATAAGTCAGTGGGAGATGCACGGGGCTCTGGAGCCACACACCCATCCACCAGAGGCCAGGAAAATGTGCAACCTATTTTACAATATCACACAGATCCAAGTAATAGAAAGTGGCCACTCCTTGGCACACAGAACTTTCCTGTCTTGAATGGTAAAGGTGTAGATTTCCAAGGAGGGAGATGTGAAAGATAATTTTCCTGGGTGCCTGGCAGTGTGGCCAGCAAGGCAATAGCTGCCACCTGTTTCCACCCATATACAGGCAAAACTGAGGCAGGAAGCCACACACTTCAAAGAGGGGCATAGGCAAGGCTGGAGGGAGCCTTCGTGCCAGTCCTTGTCAGTCACAGTCAGAAGCACATCTGCCCAACAGAAACCCTTCCAGGATCACCCCAGAACTGTGATTGCTTCTGAAGCGTGACAAAAGTACTGCTTGAGTCTTGCGAAGCAGAATTAGAGATTTGATTTTTTTAATATCTCTTTTCTCTATGATGCATATTTTCTGCACTAAGTATTTTTGGCAGGAAGAAAAATGATTTTTTTAATTTAAAAACTCAATTACCATGAGAGTTTCTACACAAAAGAATCCAAATATGCATCGTCCATATCTTTTAACTGTGGGTGGAATACTAAACTCTAAGGGATCAGTCAAACCAAGACCTCAGCTTCTAAATAATTTAGTAATGAATCCAATGGATATTGACTCCTCCCTTGGGATAGAAAATCTGGGTGTTTGATTCCAGGTGTCTTCCTCTGAGCCATTTCACTTGCTGTTCCTTTGCTGGAGCGCTCTTCCCACTGACCAGCACTTCCTTCGGAACTCTGCTCACATGTCCCCTGTCTCAGTGAGACTTCTAGCCATCTCAGTAAAGGCTCAGGCCTCTCCCAGCTCTGATTCTTGTGCCCTCCTTGTTTTGCTTTTTTTAGAGCATTTGCACCGCCTAACACACTTCTCATTACTATTGAGTATTTAATGGGCCTCACCTGTCCTGCCCCATCCTCCAATGGACTGAGGCCCATAAAGAATGGGGCTTTTGCTGTATGCCTGGGACTCATTGTGTACTCAGAAAGTATTTGTCCAACAAGTCCAGATAGCAACTAACCATGTAAATGGAAAAGTGGTGTGGGAGGGTACGCAGAAGGTTTTGTCCAGGCAAAGGCAGGCTCACCCTGAGCTCACTATGCACATCCTGAGATCTCGGTGGTTTCTGCTTCCATTTTCTTCACAGTGAACCCTGAGTCCAACCCAAAGCCAGTGCAGTTTTGTCATTTCTCTTGTCTTCCCCAGGAGCAGGCCATAGAGGTGCTGACCCGCTCCAGCCTAGAAGTTGAGTTGGCCACCAAGGAGCGGGAGATTGCCCAGCTGGTGGAGGATGTGCAGAGGCTCCAGGCCAACCTTACAAAGCTACGTGAGAACTCAGCCAGCCAGATCTCCCAGCTCGAACAACAGCTGAGCGCCAAGAACAGCACGCTTAAAGTAAGAGCACCACCGGGGCATGGGGCACAAGGGGACCAGCAGGCTGAAACCACACTCACATCCACATGCACACCCTCTGCTTTCCAAGAACTGGCAGCACACTCGGTGGCTTTGAACCTTTGCCGGGCAGCTTGAAGCAGAGACCCAGAGCCTAGGGCAGGAAATAGGAGCTGAACCCATTGCTGGATCTGGCATAGACAGCATGTCCTCTCTACAGCCACTCCTTGCCTGAAACACAAGAGTCCCAGGTGCTTGGTGCATACACCTGCCTGCCTCACTACCTAAGAACTCCAAAGGCAGCGCCTGGTGCTCCTGGTGCTTCTGCGTGGGGCTTGGTGTGTGTCACAACCAGGCCATCGGTGTAGATGTGCCTTTAGTTGGCTCTGTGGGTCTCCCTGACTGTCTGTGGATGGGAGGACCCAGTGCACTGGAACCATGCCTTGTCCAGTATCTCAGCTACACAAAAGCCCAGCAGCCTCTGAGGTTCTGTCTGAGCCCCTGAGTTGAAGGATGTTCCCATGTCCTCCTGAGTCTCAGCATCCCCTTCCAGACAGACTGGCTAGGCAGCCTAGCAGAAGCCAGAATACTAAATAATAGTAATTATACTTGGAAGTACTTGCAGTCCTTCAAATCAAATGTAATTTGAAGACAGTTATGGAACCCTAGATTGGTGGGTGTCAGCACCATGAGGATTCTTGGGAGATACCTTCTTTGGCAGATGACGCAAGGCTAGGAAGGGACTCAGGGGTCTCCTGATCAGCCCAAGGAGTGCTCACCCAGGACTATCCCTGTTCCTGCTCCATAGCTCCTTGTTCCATGCATAAATGAACCAGTGTACAATAAATGAAGTCGATCAGGGTTAATTATAAAAATGTAAAGCAGCCAGGAGCAGTGGTGCATATCTGTAGTCCCAGCTACTAAGGTGACTAAGACTGGGGGCTGGCTTGCACCTGGGAGTTTAAGGGAAGCCTGAGCAACAGAGCAAAGATCCCATCTCAAAATAAGGAAAAAAGAAACTTTCTTCTTGTATAAAGTCATTTTAAAATGTAGTTAAGCCCATTTTGATTTTTTTTAATGGAGATTTTCTCCTCAGCATATACCCAAACTTAAATCTACAATTAAATTTCAGCAAGACTGTCGCTGACACCAGTGGCACCTGTGGCCCTCCCTTCTGGTTTTTTCTTTGCCTCCTTAGGGTGAATTTTATCCACTTTCTGAAAAACTGCTGGGTACAGTCCTATAGCTTTTGGAAGATGGTAGAAAGCTCGTCATATCCCTCATTAACCATGGCCACTATTTCTCCTGTTTCTCCAGCATTTCTTCTTTTCTCATCAGCTTGCCCAGTGAGTACCAGGACTCATTTTTTATCTCTAGATGAAACCTAATTTTCTCATGTTATAGCCATTTCTGACCCTCGCAATGGCATTATTATTAGATAATCTGCCTTTCTCCCCTTTGTCACAGTTGAAGGGCACGACTCGAATACATCCTGCGTATGACTGCATGCGACCAAGGGTGTAGACCTTCTATTTTTCATTATGAAGCAATTTCTTCTAAATCAGTTAAGGTTTTAATGTTTGCCTTCACAAAAAAATGAAACACATTTTCACAAATTAATGTTCTTTATCCGTATCTTGGGGGAATTCTTTAATACTATACAGTTAATGAAACAATTCAGCAATACTTCTTCTAAAATCATTGCTCCCTTATCTTCATCTGATCTAATAATCAAAACATATCCTCTAGTAACAAGACTTCTCTGATTTTAATTATCTTAACCCCTTGTTGCCAGGAGTAAAGATTTCTCTGATAGCAAACTCACTCACAAAAGGCCCTAGATTCCCCCAAAATGAGCAAATCTACCTCCCATACCCCAAAGGAATAAGGTTAATTGAATGAGATACCTTCCAAGGGCTTTGTTTTGTTCCGATGTGTGTAATTGATAGTCTCCAATCTAAACTAAGCAGGGATACAGTTTTTAGAGACCTATATTATGAATGAGATCTGTCACATCAGCAACCTGATGCTTTTGCGGGGGAGGACTCTGACTCCATGGTCAGAGCTACTGAAGAAGCAGTAGGAGAGCAAGTTAGGGCTTATCTTAACTTTGCTTGCCTCTTCCTCTCCCCAGGTCTCCCTCCCTCCATTTTTCCCCCCTTCTTTTTGAACCGTGTTTTCCAGCTTTGGAGGTCTGCAGAAAATGTAATGGGGGCTGACAATGAGATTCTGTTTGGTAAAGGTTACTATGCCTTCCTGTTCAACGTTCAGCTCTTTGAAATTGTGGGTGATTTGCCAAGAGTGTTTGAGAGTGGATCCCCCCCACCCTGCATCACTGGGGATTGATCCTTTTTTTATGTTTTGATTTTGGAACAGGGTCTCACTAAATTGCCCAGGTTATACTTGAACTTGTGCTTCTTCTCAGCCTGCCAAATAGCTTGCATATAGTCATGAGCACTATTCCTAACATCCCTTGATCTTGGAGACAAATGTCCATGTGTTTGATGACAATTACTTGGGCAGCACATGCCTTCCACAAGAAAAGCTTCATGAGTAGAAATCTTGAGTTCTGAGATGATTGGGCTTTTTCCATTAATACTCTGGTGGCATTGTCTGTAACTGAATATATTGGGGGACTGATAAATTGGTTTGCTGCCCCTAGCTGGTTGAAACTGTCCATCTTGTTCCCACTGAGATCTCTTTCTTTCATGTAGACAATAGATGTCATCCTGATGTCTGCCATTCTTTCCTGGTCAGGGTTCCACTCTTTCAAGCAAAGTTCACAGTCAGCACAGCACTATCCACATCTCATGCTGCATCCTCTAACCTTTAAATAGATGAGGAGACAGGCTTCCAAGTGGAGATGTTTCTTCCTGCCTAATGTGACAGGTGCTCAAGCACAGTGCCATTCGCAGAGGATAATTCCATATTCGTAATTAATGAAATAACCCGACTGCAATGACAGGGCTGCTATTTTTGATAACTCTGTGTTCCGTGGTTTTCTGTCGCAACACTTGAATATAGAGGCAGTGTAATTAGGCAGTCACCTGCATTATACTCACTATGGCATAGAAAATAATGCTACCAATAGCTTCAATTTAAAATGGGTATTTATAAGAAAGGCTAGCTAAAAGAATGCCAATCTCCCATAGAGAGAAATTACATTTTCTAAAGATGTCTTAAAGATTAACGCTTCCCACTGGGCAGGTAGGCAAGTATGTTAGAATCACCTAAGGGTCTTTTTCCAAACTCATGTGATTCTACCTGCTGCCCCCACCTCCTGAGGCTCTGATGGGTTCCATTAAGCACTGTGGGAATTTGCTGTGCTCCTCAGGCACAGGGGCAGAAAAAAAGACTGATAACCATTTCCTAGCCTCCTGTAGGCCCTTAAGTTCCAGACAGGTTCCATTTGCCCCTAGACCCTGCCTCTGGATCCCATAACTTCCATCTCCCAGCATTGTGGCTCTGAGGCCTGCTGTTGCTTTGCTTGGGCTACCCTCCATGAGGTCCTAACCAGCAGGCACAGGTTATAAAGTTCCAGTGACGCTTGCTCTATGAGTGAGTAGGGTGATCATCATGATCTCTGGTGATATCAGGCCCAGAGATGTCCAGCCTGTAGCTGTGGTAGGAGGCACAGCCCCGGTCTACATGTCCCTCCTCCCTGTTGTCACTGTGAGCCAATAGGCAGATGGAAAAAAGACCTCACCTCCAGAATGGCCCATGCAGGTTGTGACATCAGGCATTCAGGATCATACAGAGCCCAGGGCATGCAGTTCTAATAATAGCTGCCCTAGTTGAGCCTTAAAGACACTATGAGTAGGCCCAGGAAAGGAAGGAGCAAGAAGAAAGACCAGCACGGCCCCTTAGTGGGAAGCCGAAGCAGTCTGCTTGGCAGAGTTAGGCAGGGTGAGAAAAGAGGTGGCCTTTGATTGGCAGAAGAAGATCATAAGCAGGTTCCTATAAAGTCCCTGTAAATCATTTGGCATCTCCAACAGTGCTTTAAGGGAGCTAATTGTTCTTGGGCATCCATGGTGAATCCTCTCGGAAAGACACACTGGACCCACTCATTCAGTGAATCCAAAGAATTCACACCATCCTCAGCGTAACAGTACACCATGATATGCCACATATAGGTGACCTGAATATTAAAACAGATCCTTCTTGGGATCTGTTGTTATTCCATTCTGCAAAAAATTAGCTCCTGTCAACGCAGTGCCCAGGGCACAGTTCCTGGAAGGTGGAGGCATGTCATGTTTGCTAGCAGGGTCCCTCCTCTTCCAGAGCCATGCTTGATAGCCCTGCTGCTCTATCTGCTCTAGCCTCGGTGTGTTTGAACACCAGGATCCCACTTTGTGGAAGAGAAGGAGCCCCCTACTTCATAGGAAAGAGCAGGTCCTCCAGTGCAACCCTCAATCCCCCACCTTCTGGCCTTGGGGGATCTTTCCTTCCACCCTGTGTTCTCAGCATTCCCCTCAACACATGTAGAGCTCTCACCTCAGTGTTTCAGTGGATCCAGGACTAGAGCTTCCTCACTATCCAGGCACCAGGGCATCCCTGGGTTCCCCCCAGCCACAGCATCAGCAGATACCAAATTTACATGATTGCTGCCTCTCACCAAGGAACCATGTGATAGATATACTAATTGGGAGAGGGTTCCCATTCACAGATAAAGAGGTACAAGCTGCCTGGGCCTGGACCCCAGAGTCAACATCAGTGAGGGGTTGAGTAATGATCCAGGGAGGCCAAGCTGTCCATCCCAACACCCCAGCCTGAGCCAGCCGGCCACTGGTGGCACTGCTGAGAGTCAAGCCTACTCCTCTCTATTGCAGACTCCACCTCATCCCACGGTGGCCCCAAAGATGCATCCTCTTCTCCAGTCTTCATATTGGTCTAATGTACCAGAGGTCCCTTTGCTTGTAGCCTTAGAACTCCAAGAATTGTATTTTCCAACTTGAGAAAGATGGATCACCTTTATAAATTAAGCATCTTAACTTGTTGTGTACCAAAATGCCTGCTATTTTACATTAAAGCTCCTTATGATTTAAATTTTAACAGATTTTAGGATTTCGAGAGAGGCAGTTTCTCTAACAGTTGAGAAAGAAACCAAATAACCTTCTAGGTTCATAAACTTGGCTACAGCATAGACACAGTCATGGTGAGAGGCATTTGGCAGTCTCCACCGGATGACCCTGTGTATGCTTGCCACTGTCCTTTGAAGACTCACCTTAGTTTGGCCTTCCCCTACATTTCAGATAAGCAGCTTGATTTTTCATACCCAACAGGCCAAGTTCATCATCTAGGCTTGCACGCATCCATCTCTGAAAACTGCATCTTAGACACCTAACCTCTCAGACATCACAGCTCATCAGCCAGCACACAGTACATATCAGTAGTGACCACAGCAGTGACAGGGCTGTGACTCGCTGCTGGTACACATTGGGAGGAAGGATCAGTAGATCACTAGCCTAGGAAAGGGGCCAAATTCAAAATTCATTGTAGTTTCTACTCAAGGAATATTGCTTTCACAACATTATTGAATCTAACCACAGAAAGCCAGGACCATCTGTGCATTTTGGGCAAAGATAACCCAGTCTCCAGATTCTGCCTCTGTGGCATTGGCCTTAGCTGCTTCTCCTGCCCACTAACTTTAGCAGCAGGCACAGGACCTCCATGGAGCATACCCACGACCCTCCTCCTTCCTCCAATGCAGCTTTGAGATGTGACATGCACAGTGGATCACTTCTAAGGACACTGCCCTAGAGCTGGGTTGAAGTGTTCTGCAAGTCAGGACAAGCATCATGGGCATCATCCACCAGGTTTCCCTCCAACTTGTCTGCCCAAGACAAGAACTGTCATGATGGGTCAGTCGCAAAAAAGGTGTTGAGCACTTCTTGACTTTTTAACTATCCCTCCACTACCACCAGCACCACCATAACTGGGATTGAACCCAGGGATTTTGCACTCACTGAGCTACATCTTCAGCCCTTTATTTTAAGACAACGTCTTACTAAGTTGCCCAGGCTGGGCTTGAACTTGGGGCCCTCCTGCCTCAGCCTCTCAGAGTGCTAGGATGATAGGCATGGACCACTGTGTTTAGCTGCTATTCAGCCTCCCAGCCATGCTGCAGATAATGTTCTACAAAGGAAGGAGGTAGGCACATTAGAGCTTCCCACTAGTCAACTATAGGGAAGAGAATGAAATAATCACTTCTTTAGGAGCACCTTCTGAGAATTTTTTGTGGGAAAATGAGTGCCCACTACCCCACATTTGATTGATTATGACTGAGAAAACCGTTATAATATATAAAGTTGGCAAGAGATCTGAAAAAGGAATAAGGCAGAGCAATTTTATACCACACAAAATTGCCAGCAGAGGCAGCAGATGGCTAGGCCAGTGTCATTTACAGAACACTTGCATTCTCTAAATAGCAGGTGGGGTCAGAGACAGAGGAGCATTAAGACTGATGGCCACTAGGTATCTCCTGCCCACACCAGAATGTTCTTGGGCATCTTAAACTGTGGTCTTAGTCATAGCTGGGAAAGCAGAGCATAACATGACCCTTGGAAACCCTGTAGATGGGAGGGGCTGACCTCTCAAGCCATGGATTGTATTCAGCTTAAGTTTAACCCTGCCCTGTCCTCGAAGTTTATGTCAAAAGGTCTTCTTTAGCCAGGGATTTAGCTCACTGGTTCTACCACCTGCTTTGAAAGCACAAGGACCTGATTTCAATCCCCAGTACCCCAAAAAAAGGCCTTCTTTAACTCAAGGAACTCCCTTTGAGGGAGACCAGATACAAAATGGTCCAAAAACACCTTTCTAGGACACAGCTCGACTAAGGCCCTGCACCAGCTGCTCTTGCCAGCCTTTAGAAATGCTCAACAACCTCTGACTATTCTGTACTACCCGAGAATTATCACACTTTGGGAAAGTGTTGTCACTCCCCGAGAGGTCTGTGGGGACCAGAAGTCCCTATAAGGCTGCTTATACCCCAAATATCAATAACCATGGCACAAATTCTTTTTCTGGATGCTTGTTAGATGCTAGTACTCTATAGCAAAGAGCTTGCGTCTCTCTTTAGCAGGGGTCCCCAAAAGGTGTGGACAGCAAGCCAGACACCTTTTATGAAATACCACACACTGCTTTTAAATGCCAAGTATACATCTCTGCTTTAATTTTCTGTTTCCTGGTATTTTGTGCAAAGTGTAATTTCCCTTGTTCTGTTTGCCGCTTTTGTGAAGCTTTTCCCTTCCACTTATATTGCATTTTACACATAAACCTTGATTGCTCAGAGTCCAGCTGCACTCATGGGCTAGGCCAAAAGAGGAAGGCAAAAGGTGGCACTCACACTGCCAGTTTCCCCACTCCACAGTGGCCAAGTGTCATACAGAGAACATGGTCAACAAAGACCATCAGCCTTTTAGACGTGGCCACTAACAAATTTCTCTCTGTTTTTAGCAACTGGAAGAAAAACTCAAAGGCCAGGCTGACTATGAAGAAGTGAAGAAAGAGCTGAAGTAAGTCTGAAGATTCTGGGAAGATCATCTGCCAGCAGATGCCAGGTGGTGTCAGGGCAGCTGCGAACCCTGGAGCTCTGCTTCTGTGGTGCCCTGGGCTGCCCAGCACTGGGAGTGTTTGTACTTGGGCCTCTCCTGGAATTCTTTAATCTTTTTATAAGACCATGTGCATTTAAAAGGATCCTGGGGCCAGGGATTTAGCTCAGTGGTTCCAAGCGCAAGGATTAGAGTTCAATCCCCAGTACTATAGCTAGATAGACAGACAGACAGACAGACAGACAGTATTCCAGCTAGGCGTGGTGGTGCATGCCTGTAATCCCCTCACTTGGGAGGCTGAGGCAGGAGGATCACTGTGAGTTCAATACCAGCCTGGGCTACATAGTGAGACCCTGTCTCAAAAAACAAACAAACAAACAAAAAATATCCCAGAGTATGCACAGAGTCAAGGGGAAATACTGCCTTTACAGAAATTGTAAATAGCCTGTTTTTCAGATGTAAAATCTCCAAGGAGAAGCAGAGCCTTCTACACTTAGGCCCCCTTTTCCCAAACTCATTCCCTTTCATGAGGCCACAGCTGAAAGCTGTTCATCCTCCAGGGCTGGTACTACTTTCTCGTGCTTAGAAGTTCCCTCTCCAGGCCCTAGCTGCCTCCTAAACCCTTGCCTTTCACTTTTCCTCCAAGCCCATGCTTGCTCTCCAAAGCTCCCAGGCCTGGCCCCTACCTGTCATCCCCTTCAAGCTCACTGATACCTCCCCCAGTCAGCCCATGCCAGCTCTTCCATGGTGCACAAGGCTTCCCTTGACCTTCTGCCTGAGCGTCCCAGGCCACTCTTTGGCTCCATCTTGCCTTCTAAGGTTACCCAGCAATGTGTCCCTCAGACCCTGTAAGGGCCTGAGCTCTGGGCTCTTCCCAGGAGGAGAGCTTCCTTGGCCTCTTCTGTCCTCTGCCCCCCCACCCCCCTGCACCTAGAGAAACTGGCTCTTGCAGCTTCAGCTTTGCCTGGAGCCACTCTTTCTGGTCTTAGGCTCCACCTCCAGGAAACAATATTTTGGATTTTGGTTTGTTTTTGGTTTTGAATATTTGTATATATGGAATGAGGTATCTTAGAGATAGGACCCAAATCTAAACACAATATTTATTTATGTTTCATATGCATCTTATACACATATCCTGAAAGGTAAGTTTATGTAGTATTTTTAATGATTTTTGTACATGAAGCAAAGTGTCACAATGTGGGATTTTCCACTGTAGACTCATACCAGCATTCAGAAAGTTTTGGTTTTCAAATTTGGGTTGCATAACCTGTATAGACTAAATCAGCCTCTCACTGCATCATCCTAAAGAAGACCCCAAACAAGGAACAAGTATATAGTTGCAAACAACATGAATTGTTCTTTTAAGAGAGAGAGACAGAGAGAGAGAGAGACAGAGAGACAGAGACAGAGAGAGAGAGAGAGAGAGAGACAGAGAGAGAGAGACAGAGAGACAGAGACAGAGAGAGAGAGAGAGAGAGAGAGAGAGAGAGAGAGAAGGAGAGAGGCAAGTTTGTCCAGAGAGCTCATAGCCTCTCCTGTGTAATATGAAAAACCCAGTATTCTCACATGGTTCATTCCACCTTGTCCCTGTTTTTGTTAGTTGATACAGTAGATACAATGCAAAAATGCAGACAACTAGAGAGGCCAGTCCTTGTCCTTAGCCTAACCAGCACAGAAGCTGTGGAGGCCCTTCACCTGTAATAACATCTTTACCACCACTGTGTGAGCTTGAAGTAAGGCTGGAGACTAAAATCTCAGCTGCAGAAATGCTGGGAGGGTCCATTTGACTTGCTGCCTACAAATTGTAAACCTAGCTCTGGACCCAGCCTATCCAAGCCCCATTGTTCCCTACTGAGCAGCTTCTTAGGGCCCCACAGTCTCACGTCCCCTATTCTCTCTGATGCTGGCAGAAAGAAAGGACCATCCCCAGCAAAAAGAGCATGAGAAACAGTAGTTCCAGAGACTTTACCTCACATGGCTCCTGGCTTGTTCAGACAGTCCAGAGCCTGGAGTAGCTCTGGAACCTAGCCCATGCTCATGCAAATGGGAACAATAGGGAAAGGTGTTCAACATGCCTCTGTCTTTAGAGCTTCTTCCCAGATCTGGGATTGCACGGTCTGCTTGCCTGGCCTTTGAGCCATCTCTGTGTGGGATATTGCTCTTTGTCTATTTTCCCTGGGCCCTGAGTGGGTGCTGATTACCAAATTCATGTCCATAGTAGAGAGTTGCCTTCTCTGTGGTGTCCCTGGGAGAACTTTTTCATTCCCTTTAAGCTTCACAAATACATTCCACTCATAACAATGTGATGTCTGTATTAAACTTTAAAATTATACTCAGAACAGACCTGGTGTGATTCCATATGGAATGATTTACATGCTGGGCAAAAAAATCTTTTGCTAGCCAACTGCTAGTTGAATACTAGTTATTCTAAAGACATTATCAGATTAAAGCTCCTGCCAGGGAAGTTGTTAAAATTGTCAGTTCTTCAGCTCCTGGAGAGCAGGAAATTGTAACATTAATGCTTATTAGCGTGGCTGTTATCAAAGGTACAAGTAGAAAATCACTGCTCTGTCTTGCTCTTTCAGTATCCTGAAGTCCATGGAGTTTGCACCATCAGAAGGAGCTGGGACGCAGGTATACTCTCTCACTGTGTTCTTGGAGCAGTGGCAGCAGTGCTACTGGCCATTGCTGATCCCTAGGGCCTGCTTTCCCATCTCCACCTTTATTTGGGTCCTCTCACTTGTGTTTCTGAGTCCTTCTCCAAGAACATTTAACCAAGCAGAAGCAAATAATCTAATTAGCCAAAAAGGGAAAAGTTTTCCAAAGTGTTCACTCATTTCCAGCAAAATTGTCATTTCACTTGGCCAGGCACTAAGAACATGAATATAGAACAACTTCAGAGACTTGGGGTACAGTTCAGCAGTAGAGTACAGATTTAGCATGTGCAAGGGTTCCACCCCAGCATCAAAACAAAATAAAATTCAGGTTGTGTTCATGATCAAAAAATAGATAGGCTTAGGAACATTAATTAATTGTGTACCTCCTCAGTGGAAAAGCGTTGGTGGCCAGTTTAATTACATCCTTAAGCCAGGCATGATGATGTACACATTGAGTCCTAACTACTTGGGAGGCTGAGGCAGGAGAATCGTGTGGGCCCGGGACAACATAATAAGCCTGGGCAATACAGTAAGAAGACCCTGCCTCTCATTTTAAAAACATTTTAAAGAGCTGGGGATTTAGCTTAGTGGTGCTGCCACCTGCCTGGCAAGTGCAAAGACCTGACTTCGATCCCTGGCACCCCCCGCAAAAAAACTTTTTTATTTAAATCAAAAATATTTACATCACAGGTATATTTCCAATCTCCAAAAGGCAACTGACATTATCATGCTACAGAAAGAAAAAAAAATTGAAAGTTTACATTATTTTCTGACACAGGTTGGTAGCTTGGCAGCCTGTCTTATTGCCACATAAGGCCCAGGCTTAGACTACTGGTGTTTGGGGACAGAATAGAGAATAATTAATTGTCTAGAAGCCATACAAGTCTAAGGCAAGGGGGAAAAAATACCTCAACAGAAATTAATTCTTTTTCAAAGCAATTTGAATGTTTTCCAAGAGTCCATGAAATATCCTTGGGGGAAATCCGCTCTTTGCAACAGAAAGCTGAGGTGGGAAGGCAGGCAGATGGGTGGTAGGTCTGGGGCCCCAGGAGCTGGTGATGGCCATCCCACGGTGAGCCCCCCTCTGCCCCATCTAGGAAGCAGCCAAGCCCCTGGAGGTGCTGCTACTGGAGAAGAACCGCTCACTGCAGTCCGAGAATGCTGCACTGCGCATCTCCAACAGCGACCTGAGCGGTAGGTGGACAGGTGTTGAGTGCCGTGCTTGGTTCGCTTCCAGGGGTCAAGGAAGAGGAGGGTGACATGTGAGTCTGGGCTCGTGCATGGCGGGAGCACCGCCGGTTGGTGAGGACTGTGACTAACCTTGAGTGTTTGGTGACCCCCTCCTCAACGCTCTGCCCCACCTGCCCTGTGACAAAATGCGCGCACCCTGCAGCGAGTCTGCACAGGTTCCAGGAGGGACAACCTCAGGATGTTGGCTTTCCAATCTTTTGTAGTTGTGCTGCAAACAGGCCAGGGGCAAAAGCCAGCATGGCCCTTCTTGAGTGTCTCTGGGGGCTGCTTACAGAGGTCGCCTGCCCTCCCAGGCCCAGGGTGCTTTTCTTCCTTTGTCAGGTTTTCCTTGTGGATGCGTTTCCCACCCCCATCCTTAGCCTTTCTTTGCTCGTCCCAAAATGGTGGTGTCACTGACTGCTTCTGGTTTGGCAGCTGGTAAACCGCGTTAACAGTGTGTGGGCTCTGATGATATTGCATTTCTAAAATGTGCGCGCCTTTGATTGCGTGGACTCGGTGCGGTACCTTCACCTCAGGGCACGTGGGGGAGCAACCCCACTGGTCCCCAAATGTCGGTGTTTGCTGCTCCTCAGGCAGGGCCCTCTGGTGATAGCTCAAATGCTAGAGGCCCCACTCGAGGCCCACGACCTGTCGACTCTTCCCTCTGTGTGTTACCGGATCCTTGTCACTAGCACTTTGAACCTTTGTCAAAGGGGATTCTCCAGGCTGCGACATACAAGAAAGGTGCAAACACGAATGCATGTGGCTTGTTTTGGGGGGCCTCGTTTGGCTGATTGACAAATTCAATCAAAAAAACAAATCAATCCACCTCATTGGCCCTTATAAAATCTGCACTTTTATTTTTTTCCCTTTTGTGGGGCAAACTTACTTTGCATTCTGGTCTTGGTATTTTTTCCCCTTTGGAATCCCCCATAATGCATTCTGTTTGCCCTTCCTTGTAGGGTCAGCCAGGAGAAAAGGGAAAGACCAGCCTGAGAGTCGGCGCCCTGGACCCTTGCCGGCCTCCCCTCCTCCTCAGTTGCCCCGCAACACGGGGGAGCAGGCTTCCAATACTAATGGTACACACCAGTTCTCACCAGCGGGGTTAAGTCAAGACTTTTTCAGCTCATCCCTGGCAAGCCCCAGCCTACCCCTGGCTTCTACAGGAAAATTTGCACTAAACTCTCTCCTCCAGCGACAGCTAATGCACTCCTTCTACTCCAAGGCCATGCAGGAAGCAGGAAGCACAAGCATGATTTTTTCAACAGGTCCCTACAGCACAAATTCCATATCTTCCCCAACTCCATTACAACAAAGCCCAGATGTAAATGGCATGGCCCCATCTCCCAGTCAGTCCGAAAGTGCTGGGAGCGTCTCCGAGGGCGAGGAGATAGACACTGCAGAAATCGCCCGGCAGGTTAAAGAGCAGCTGATCAAGCACAATATTGGACAGCGCATTTTTGGACATTATGTCTTGGGACTGTCACAAGGGTCTGTGAGTGAGATCCTGGCCCGGCCAAAGCCCTGGAATAAATTGACTGTCCGCGGTAAAGAGCCATTCCACAAGATGAAGCAGTTCCTCTCCGATGAACAGAACATCTTGGCCCTGCGCAGCATCCAAGGCAGACAAAGAGGTAAGAGACACCCTCGAGTTGGTGCCAGCGTGTGAGGCCACATGGGTGCATGCGTGCGTGCATGCGGTGTGTGTGTGTCTGAGTGTGTGACAAAACATTTGTACATCACATCAGGTAAAATTCTCTTCGGTTGTGCCATTTCTAGAGCTCAAGGGTTGACCGCATGAGCTGCAGCCTTTTGATTTGGGGGAGCTGGCCTTGAGAACTCACTCTGCTCCTTGCACTTAGGGAATTCAGGATCTCTGCTGAGTGCTAAATTAGGGGCAATTGCATTGTGCACAGCATTCTGGCATGTTTCTCACCCCTGGTCCCAATTGGCCTGGGTGGTGGCCTTACATTGGGAGTGGCCCTCAGGTACCATCCAGCCCTGTAGCAGCAGCATTGACTGGGCTCCATCCTCATCCAGCGTTGATTCTGCAGGGCAAACCTTTCAAAGCTGCCTCCCTCCTCTTCTCCTCTGACCCCTCCGAGAGGATGTGCCTTGTGGTCACCTAAACTCATTTATGTTCCACTAGTGATTTTTTTTTTTTTTTTTAGCACTACAAGCAAAACACGCCTGCCTTGAGTAAAATACATGAAAGTCCTATTTAAACACCCTTCCTACTCCACCCTCCATAAAAAGATCAAAAGTCTGCAGCCACATCCACAATATAAAGAATTCCTGCTCTCTTCAGGAACAGGGGACCCATGTGCCAAGTCAGCAGTGATTCAGAGAGGGAATTTTGTTAGCCACACTGCAAACACACATTTGAAATTTAAACCTAGACAGAGAAGGGAGACTTTCAATGTTCCAAACAGCATCAATTTGCACTAAGAACGCAGAGCGTTTTATGGTGATGTTAACTGAAATTGAATGTCTTTGGATGATTAATGGGAGCTTCATTCTGGGGGCTGGCGGGTGATTTGCTTGGAGACAGCTCTCTCTCCCTGCGACCCGCTTGGCAACAGTGGCTGTAGGCCACTGCCTAGGTTTGTCCAATCTCCTCTTGCAGTAGAACCATGGCCTCGGCAGACCAGTCAACCAGGGAAAGGCCTCTCCAAAGTTTCTAGGAGCTCCAAGTTGCACAGGAAGCCCTGAGCCCTTTCTTTAGTGCCAGGCGGCTCAGATTTCATGTCACACAGCCCATATCGTTGACGCCACCATTCCCCTGATTGTTTTGTTCTTACCACACTTGTTTTTCAACAGAGAATCCAGGCCAGAGCCTGAACAGACTATTTCAGGAAGTACCGAAACGAAGAAATGGGTCTGAAGGTATGTTGCAGGCAGGTGTTTTTCTTTGCAGTTAGTAACCTAGGAAGCAGCATGTCGTTAGCTGTGTTTTTTGGGTTCAAACTGTGCAGTGTGATTCTGGCCTGGAACCTGATGGAAAAACAGAGCTAGTAAGTATAAAACAAAACACGGGTTCAGGAGGCCCATCCCCTCCCCCCTGAGCTGCCTGTACTCTACAGAGTGCAGACCAAGTGCAAGAAGGTGTCTCTGAGATTAGTCCCAAAGCACAGGTCCCATTCCAATTACACTATGCCTGTTTTCTCAGAAGCAGGTGAAAGAATAACAGTTATTGCTCTGAGAAAAATCAAGTTACCAAGTCAAACCAGATACTGCTGCTTCCTCAAACTTTTAACTCTAAAATATGTGAAAGGCCCCACAAGTGGACAGATTACAAATGCAGTCAGTTCCCCCTAAGGCAGGTAAACCCCCACTGCATTCCTTGAAGTTTCATCTCTGATGGGGCTTCATCCTGGTAGTTTCCTTGTTTAAACAGTTTCATGTGGCGCTTCCTATTGAGTAAGGTAGTGAAAAATTGAAATATCTGGACAGCTTCCAGAAAGAAATGGGGCCAGCCCCTGAGCCCTGGTAGCTTCAGGGTGTCTGCACATGTGGCTGCTATGCAGAACACCACCATGTGACCCTAAGAATGCGTTCTTGTTCTTTAGGATTCCCTGTAGGCTTCTCTCCTTATTTGTGAATTTCAAAAAAAGACAATAGATCCCCCATAAAATTGAGTTCAGCCTTGTGCCTCTTGACCTGGTGTACCCACATTATTGATGAAGGATCAACTTCAGCCTTTTGCCTCCTTTGCAATTTTTCCTGTTCGGGAAAAATAAATGTACAAAGCGTGAATATAGTTCTGAACCGAAGCGGTTGTTGAAGACGCTTCTAAATGACTTATGAAAAACAAGGCCTTTGAATCTGCCCATTTTTTTGTACTGCATTCAGTGATTCATCCTCCCTGGTACTAACCCACAGACAGAGGCCGGCTCAGGTGAATGTGCACGCCAGTCCTGCTGGCCAAGTAACATTGATTGAAGCAGGTTCAGCAGGAAGCCTCCTGCATGGTGTCTAGGTACCTGCTGTGAAAGTGCTGGCCCATGGGAGGCCATGCCTACCTCCTTATATCACTGGCCTCATCTCAGGGCCATTTATCAAAATGATGTCTTCATGTGACATTGATTTTCTTACCCAAAGTTTGGTTTGATATCATCGCTTGACTTTTCCCTACAGGTAACATCACCACACGGATCCGAGCCTCAGAGACGGGTTCTGATGAAGCAATCAAGTCCATCCTGGAACAAGCCAAGAGGGAGCTCCAAGTTCAAAAAACTGGTACGGCTTCTACTTCTTCAACCACTGTCTTCCAAGCTTAATTAAAAGAATTGTCTTGAGCATTCTGGTCAGCAGTGATTAAATTTTAAACAGTAGTGAGCATTTAGGAACATGCAGAGGAGTGGAGATTTGTGTGATCTGTCTCGCTATTATTAGTTACTGTCATTCCCCAGCAACAACTCAAGAATGTTACCCAGGACTTAGAGTCTCCTTAAATTAGCAGGCAGTAGTTGGGCTGAGGATGTAGTTCAGTGGCATTGTGCCTACCTCGAAAATGCAGGGTCCTGAGTTCGATCCCCGGTACTGAAAAAAAAATTAGCAGGTAGTTTGTATCAAATATCCTTTTTAAAATACAGTGCAGGCTTTTGTTATTTAGTTATTATCATACTTGACCAAATGCAGCTAAAAAAAGAATGTGAAAAACTAAAGCCTTACCAGGTGCATGATCGAAACATAGATGGTAGTGGGGAGCAGGCAGTCCCTGTGGATAGATGTCCACCTCTGCATCCTACCTATAGAACCAGGGCTTCCTGAGAATCACGTCTTCCAGAGGACAGAGCCTCTGTTTCACCTTCTCTGGCTGAACTTTGACTGGAAAGAGGACCATGCTGCAGGCTCTAATTGGACCCTTCTATGGGAGAGGAGACTTCATACCCATGAAGCACTCCTCTGCAGAGCATCTCCCCATGGACCTAGTCACAGGGTGCCTGCCTGGCCTTCAGGGA